TATGAACAATTGAGTTAATTAACTATTGCAAATGGTCGATTAGATAAGTCTTCTTAGTAATTATAGATTAATTCAACTGGGTTTTGCAAATTTACAATAAATTAAAGTGTTACATTTTAAAATCCTCCCTTAGTTATGGAATAGCTGTGGAATAAACGATACCTTAAGATTCTTTGATTTGATTATGCAAATGTTTCTTAACTCTTGTCATACAAAAACTAAACAATGCAGTTTGAACAAAAAAAAACCTTTAATAAAGGGGCCAAACTAACTTCAGATTGTAGCTAACTGGAACATTGTAAAAGGGCATTTCAACCAAAGCAAAAACAAAATATGCGACTCATCAGTGTCTTACTTTCTGTTGTACTTTCAAATTTGCTGTGCAGGTGTGATATTTTGTGATATTTGAAATAGACCTGTTTCAAAAAATGGCTTTGAGAAGTTTGTTTGTTGCATGACAATCATTAAGCTTTTTTTAGGTGGGACACTTAAGCTGTTTTGATTGTTACTATTGATGAAGTAACAAAAAATCTGTATCTGTGATCTGTATAGGTTATTAACTATAGTCAGTTTAACTTCAATCCAATTCCACTTTTAGCAAGAAAAACACTTTTGAGTGTGAAACCTCCAAGCTTGCACATGGAATACTGATTAGTTCTGTACATGTCTTCTGTCGTGCGTATGTGCCTAGCTCACTTTGCATCATGGCTTAATTCCCACACACAAGCTTTCAGCTAAAATGTAATTTCTCTCAATACTTACTCTGTCCTAGGTATTTGGAAGGAGTGGTTTGTGGAGCCATTATTGGACCATGAATTCTATAGCAATATAACAAAGGAAGTTGATGAAGCTTGGAAGGAAAAACATGGCAAGAATGTCAGTGATACAGTCAAGGATTATCTTTTGACCTACCTCGGGGAACCTCTTCATCAGCTTATAAGGTACATCCTGTGTGCATATTTAAAGCCCTACACCTGGTGGGAAGTAAACTGCATGGCAAGACAATGTGGCTATGCGGCAAATTACAGTAAATGACAATGCAAATGAAAGGGCATTCATTTGTACGTGGCCAATCTTATTGACAAAATTTCTATGCTCTCCCAAGCAAGCCCTGTTTACTTCCTGAAGCAACAAACTTGATTTAGTAACTAGGGCAATTAATATTTGCCAGTTTATAATTCCTTGTTTAGTTACTTTCATTGATGAGATTTCCTTGAGCACGCTCAATATTTTCCATCCTCGGCAGGTTCTTAGAAGATGAATACAGTGACTACTGTGTTCCAAGCAGTGTTTCTAGTGGATTAGGAAGTTTGCCACTAAGTTATGTCTGGTACAAATTAAAAGAAAACAAGTCATGGCCAACCGATCCGATGCTGCCAAGTGGTGAAAAACTGAATGGTCCTCATTCATATTCACTGATCATGCCATACTTCACCACCAATGATATGACACCTGCTGAGGTCCATGACCTTGGTAAAACACAGTTAAACAAACTTTATCCAATGGTGAGTCAAAAGCCAACTTGTGTTATCTGTTCAGAACTAATATCATTTTCAGCTTTTTAAGAGGCCTTGAGGGGTCTGTTGTGAAATGGTTTTATCCGGACGTGTTTTTTATCAAATGCTCTTTTTTCTCTATAACCTGAAGATCATGGCTTTGAATCCCTCACAAATCACTGAATGTTCTTCTAATTGATATTGTCAGGATTTATGGTGCACCAATAACCGTTTCTGGATTTGTGTCCTCAATTATCCATGGTCTCCCTGATTATCCAGAAGTCTCCTGGAAACAGACTGAAATTTCCAGTCTAACAAAGGGGCAATTATTGAATCTCTTGGTTACAAAGGTTAAGTTTAAATATAATAGTGTATATATGTTGTCCAAGGACCCACCTCTTTCCCTCATGTGTAAAATGTTCAATTAACCCCTGATAATTAACTCGTCGGAGTAACTTAACACCCAAGGAGTGGGTAGATGGGCCCCCTCCTCTTGAGTTTTCATTCTAATAAGACATTTGAAAAATAATAAGTGGCTGTGTGGAACAGTAGAACTTCAGTTATCTTAAACTTCCCACTATCTTGAACTCAAATCATTTTCCCTTGGGTATACACAAGTGATGGCCTGATGGGTCACTTGGCTTGTATACAGAATTTATCTTTAACCTTTACAGCTCATGACCCATGCAAAAGAAAGAATGTATCTTGGACCTTTAAGGCTCAGAGCTGGTCTCACTTAGCACTTGTTTGTTTTCTTAATTCCATTCCAGGTGGTGCAAATAGCAAAAGAGGTGATGGGTACAAATGACAGTGATCTAGCTGTTTCACTCTTCAGGCAGAAACTTAATTCCACTGATAGCTTCTTCAACGATGCTCCAATCCCTAAGAATGAATCCAACAAAGAGGCTCATAAAAGGTGTAGCAATCTTACAGGTGCAGAAAAGTATTGCCCCAAACGGTGGGCTGCCATGCAGTTATGGTTCAGAGAGGCAAGACGGGTAAGCATGTCAGAGAAAAAAAAAATTGAAATGAGAGTCTAACTGAGTCGTTTAACATTCAAACGTATATTGGCTGTGATATTAATGAAATGAGGATGCTTGAGGATGCTTCACAGGAGCTTTTGAGGGTAGACGTTTTCACTCCTGCTGACAGCCTGATTGTTATTTTCTTTTTCTTTTTCTTTTTTCACTCAGCAATGTGATCTGGTAATTCTTGTGCACTTTTATGCCAAGGGGCAATGCTTGCCCCCTGGCATACATTTCTTTGTTAAAATTGGCAGGTTGCAGGTGCCATATTTTTATGAGTTTGCAACAGGTTGTGATGAAACTTCACAAAGTTACTAAATTCTGCATGATATATTGAGCGATGAGGTATATTTTTCATTTGAATTTAAAAATTGGTAAAGCATGATGCCGGTAGAAAGGTCTATTCATAGCCAGTAAGACATATGGGTACAACTGAAAAATGACATCAACTAAGTTGTTATCATACTTTACTTTGTGTCACAGGTGATGAGTATGCTTGATCCCAAAACAGTGGGTATGTTTTACTTTACTGGTCCTAAACACACCACTCCTAACTGTCCAGTTGACCTCTCACCTGACCTCAATCCATCCAGTGGAGCACAGAGCTATGAAAACAGTGATATACATTGCTCAAGAAATGCCATCTACAACATTCCTTTCTTCTTGGAAAATCTGGGTCCAAGGTTCTCTGAATGGAGCGTCAATGCTCATGAGTCGAGGCCTGGACATCATACACAGGTGCAGTGGAATAATCACTATTAAAATTAGAAAACAGTCCTAAGAAAATACGCATGCTGATTGGTTAAAAATCGTGTTTCTATAACTCAATAGAAACACAGTACATGTTTTCTATTTCTTAAATTCGTACATGGCTGTGGTCTAACCATGAAATCCTGGGTGCCAAGCACTTAAGCTTATAGGAAAAAAAGTAAGTTTTTTCTAGTTGCCCAATGGCCAAAGTTAGTCTCCTGTGGCACCCAGTTGCCTCTAGAGTACAACTCTGCATGTACATCTAATAAGTATTGTTGGCAACTTGATGGTTATCAAAATCTTCAGAGGTTTGCAACTTTGGAAATAGTTCAGAATTTTATTGCTACTTGTGTAATATATTAATTAACTTGCAAGTTTTAAGTACATCTTAATATTGTACAGTGCTTGTCAACATACATGTACCAGAACCCTTTAACAGTTAGATATATAACACCAAATATTTTGTAAAGTTTGTGTCCTGAGGAAATGTTGTCTAAAAACCCAGCTTAAATTATTCTTGGAAAAGACACTTGTAGGTTTATTTTTTAGCAGTTTACTATCCATAAGTAGGTATTCAGAGGACACCCAGATGCCTTTTTATCAACATGTTAAATCTTATGTAACATGCCTTATTTCTGTTGTATGCAGGTTCAGGGAACTATTGAGCATTTCCATGATGACTGCAGTGATGCTCTGACTTGGCTTGACAAAGAAACTTATTACACAGCTTTCACTGAAGGATGGGCGCTGTATGCAGAGAACCCGCTTATAGCTCTGGATACAGACACATACAAGGAAGAGCCCATGCAGAAGTTTGGCATGCTGAAATGGCAGGTACATGTTCAATGTTTGCATGGAGTTTGTAAAGTAAAGTCTGCACACAAGCCAAGTGGCCCATTAGGAGCTTTCTCCAGTTTCTCAGTGTAGTATGGAGCAGCTAGCAGTAATTCTGCTCCCCCCTGGATTAGATGCTAGTCTATCACAGGGTTACTCCCAGCGTAAAGTGTCTTGCCCAAGAACACAACACATTGTCCCCAGCCACAGTTCAAACCGGACTCTTGTTGAGTTCATTAACCATGAGGCCACTGCACCTCCATGCATTGAGTTTGCACTAGCATGTAATTAATATTGTTCCCTTGCTTTCAAAAGGGTTTTCCCATTGAATAATTATATTTATTGAGTAATTATCTTCATTGGCCTTGTATCTGTAGAACCCTCACAGTATACAGTGTATATTTGTAAATGAATTTCAAATTTCATACATTTAGTCCTCTTCTACAATGTTTAAATCCAGCTCCAGTTGTTCAAAATAAATTGCTATCCAGTGGGTAACTTTTGATAAACAAACTATAGTATTCACTGGATTGTCATTTGTTTACAGTTACCTAGTCTTTGAACAACTGGGACAATTTTTAGCACGTAGTGAATTTCGGTATTCTTCATGTAGAAATAATTGCTGTACCCACGTGCTTGTACATCAAAACATAACATACTTGACTAAAGGTGCTCTTGTCTCCAATGGGCTGCTTTACCTTGTGATGTCAAGGACAACGTTTCCTCCACGTCACGCAGTGCCCCTGATACAGGGAGTGTGACAAAGATTCTAAAGAAAGGGTCTAAAGCTTTTGTAACACTATGCTTTGTGGTCTTTATTTCATCAGCTTTGGAGAGCGATCCGTTTAATTGTAGACACTGGGCTTCACTCCTTACCAAACTTTACACGAGATGATGCTCTTTCGTATTTTGATAAATATGCTTGGGATAACACCGACCTGGCTAAAAAGGAGGTATTGTTAATTTTTAATACATATGTGTGAATATTCACAGCGATATCGTAGGGAGACTACCAAGAACCTTATTTAGGAACGCAGTGAAATTTTAGCTGGTACAATTAGAGACATTTAAAGAGGTGTTGTACCTTTATGCTGAGAATTTTGAACGTTGTCAATTTATTTGTTTTAGAACTAAGCAATGACTGTTGACAAATTTTACACGAGTCTTGCAGCCAATACCATCATGACTAAACTGACCAATCGGTTTTAATGGACCTGACTGTTTACTGAACTCCAAATATGCGGACTTTCGCTCAGCTTGTGGAAGTTTCAGTCAGCAATAACAGTTTTATTTAGAACTCCGTTGTATTTTCACTCAAACAATCACAGTAGACGAACTACTGATAGTCTTGAATTCAAACCATTTACTATGTTTCTTCACGAAAGTGCAAGTTTTAGAGATTGGAAACAGGACAAGAGATGTGTAATTTGAAATACTGTGTAACGCTCCTTTTAAGATGTACAAATCATCGAGGTCACCAATCATGGTGTGCGTTACAAAAATTTATTTTGTAAAAGTGTTTAATTATGTCTTCCCAGGTGACTCGGTACCAGAGCGACCCCGGTCAAGCCACAGCCTACATGATTGGTCAGCTCGATATTATTAAGTCCAGGAGGTACGCTGAAAAAGAGTTGAAAGACAATTTCACTTTGCCGGATTTCCATTACCAGGTAAAGATTAGATGTTTTTGAAGAAGAGGCATATCACTTCTCAAGTGTTTTGATTTTAATGTGGTTATTGGTGAAAAAAAAATGACTGTGATTGTTGATAAAATGAATCATGTATGCACTGATGATAGAAAACGTATTAAACGGAACAAAAGATTCCATGTTGTTGCGCGTCTGTTCAGTAATAGATCACAGATGACCTTAAATGTGGGAAGAACAAAAAAGCGGCACACGAGATGATAGCCGAGTGTGTCACTGATGTTCTTACGACATTTTGACTTCTGTGATCTATTACTGAACATACATGGCAACATGGAATCTATTTCCTAATATAATTAAAGAAACAAAAGAGTATTAATGACGTCATCATCAGTAAGTCTGGCCTCCAATTGAGAATAATTTGACGTATTATCAATCAATCAATCAATCAATCAATCAATCAATCAATCAATCAATCAAAAACTATATCAACTTGTCGAAATTTAGCCGGCCGAGGGGACACCCCTCTAATAAATGGGGGTTCTTAATTAACATTAATTACTATTTAATACAATTATTATTATATTTAGTAACTATCGTTTTTTCCTGCTTTTGACGTGAATGAAATGTCATGCACTTCAGGTTCTCGCCCAAGGCTCCTCTCCGCTTGCTTATCTGAGCGACCACGTACAGAGGTATGTTAGCTGTGAGAAGGACCGTGAGGCGGAGGGCTGTGACGTCATCCTGAATCCTCTAAAGAATACTGCGGCTGCTAAGAGAGGGTTAAAGGCAGCCCGCTGGCCACTGATACCAAGGCCTCATCGGCATTATATATAAACAAGTTTGTTTTACAGTGATTAGTACAGAAAGGCAAATACAAAAGAAAATCATTTTTAAAAAATCCGTTACGGTAATATAGGTTCTAATGATTGTTGTGTGAGATTTAAATTTGATATATTTTAACTTTCCATAAGAAAGTATACTAGCAAGCCATGTTTCTGTTATCATACAGTCGTTTTAACGGTTTTATATATCCTTTTTTGATTGTAAAAGGGCAACTGTACATTAATTGTAACCGCGCGGTTTAAGTTTTGTCGGATATTTCTCACATCCAGTGTTTATTCCTTATAGTCAAGTCAACTCACAGTTGTACAACTTGATTCGCTGTGAACGTTACATCAAAAGGCGGGTTTTGTAGATTCCTAATTCCTACGAAATGTAAATGTCGAGTGGAGTATCAACATTAACTCACTGTTCGTTATATCAGACCGAATACATTATAAGCTACCCTGGTCTCGGTCAAGTAAGTTGCCGATGGGCACCAAACTATTATTTCTATTATTTCGCCTCTCGTTTCGTCGATAACTGGACGTTCTGCCTTCGACCGATCGTGGAGCCGTCCTCTCGAGAAAACAAATCACTGGAACCTAGAGTAGTGTTGTCGTTTTTGTTGCTGCTGCTGCTGTTGTTGGGTTTTTTTTTTACTCGAAGGGGAAGAACAGCCCTAACTAATGTAAATACATACGTTTCTGTTTGCGTAGTTTTTCTTTTCTAGCTCCGAAAATGTCTGAAACTCTAACGGAACAAAATGGACGCAGTCAGTACAGAGACCCGTCTATGAGGTTGTTGCTATTCTTCCATACAAGTAATTAGTCATCTAAGAAACTGTTCAAATCTATCTGGAGCTCGAATTTTGGGCTTCTCTAAAATAAAATATTAAAATAAGACTTGAGCGCCTTGAGGGTTCATATTTGGGTCTTCCTTTATCAGATGTTACACTCTCTTAATCTTCTAGACCTGTTGCAAACGTTGAATTCTTTTTGTTGATTTTATGTCAATGTGATAAGTTCGTATCTACTCCTTGTGAATTACGATGCATATTCTGTGATCTATGCAATGTACATTCATCTTGTACCGACTGGGAAGTAAAATAACTGTTTGTAATCAAAAGAATGACCGTGGTCTCGCGACCGTAATAAAAACTGCAATGGATTTTGTATTATTAAAACTTAATGCTTTATAAAATTTGCTCAGTTTTAAAGAATTTATTCTTATTTTTTTTCATTTTTTTCACTTTTCAGAGGGCAGACAAGGGGGCGGTACTAAACACCAAAACATCTAACAAGAGATTTATTATCCAACCGCCAACCGAAAGTAATGACCCGTCAAAAGAAACTATTATTAAAATTTTGACAAAACCTTAATCGATCCGTTACGTAAAAGGGTGACAGGTGTGTCATACAGAGTAAACTAGGCTAATTTCATCTTAGTATTTGTGAATACCAACTGTACTTGGCTGAAGCCCTCAAACTGCAGTGACCAACAAAACCGAAAAACCAAAGTTTTTTGGCACAAAAACAGAAAAATAGCCAAAACCGTGAAACCGAAAATCCCAACGCCTCCCTCGGTATTGTATCAACTGAGAGACGCAACTGCTACTTGTAAAGTGTGAGTAAAACTGCAAAGAACGACAGATTCCTTTGAATTTCGTTGTCACCTTACGTGGATTGGCCCGTGTGCAGAGTGCGTGTTGTCTGCGGCCCGAAAGTCGCGAACCTGCTGACAGAAAGTCATCTATTGTCGTGAAGCACCTCTCGACAGGTTCTATTTGTTATTGGGGTATCACTTTTCCGAGCTGTACCTATCAAAGTGTTTTAATAATAAAACGAGTGGCAGTTGAAGACTGAAAAGTGATCGGCTGAACTAATCGTGCAAGGCACGGAACATCCGCAGACTGTGCACCGGTTTTACCAATCATGGAGTCCTCAAAAAGCACGGAAATGATCATTATTGATGGCCCGCAGACCACTTTCGGAAGGAGATATTCGAAAGAGCGGATCATTACATTTGTGGTGTTGGCTGTTGCATTGGCCTTCTTAATTGTGGGAATCGTGTTGATTACAATTGCAGCAAACGACCAAGCGAGTCAAACAAATGAAAAATCGTCTGTTTCCATTTCCAATCAAGAGCAAGAAGGAAAAACAACCGAGTCCATCCCATCGACAACAATCGGCGTTCCAAAATCCACTCTCCCTCCTACCGCGACCACCAGCCCCTCAAGCAGATGCGATTTTTCAGAGGAGGCGAAGCGAGTGGGACTTGGTGAATTCCTCGATCGTGTCAAGGCAACATATTTCAAACTTCACCCCTATGATGTATACTGGGATCCTGATGTAACTGAGGGCAGGATTAAAACGGAATTCGTTGGTTATAATCCTACGCCATCCGTCATCAAAAAACGAACGGACACTGCTTTGGGTCTTTTGAGCGATATCAAAGGAAAGAAGATCAACACGGACTCGTTGAAGCCCCGCGAGAGGAAAGCACTTGCACAAGTGAAGCATTACCTTCAACATATGTTCGGTCAGCCGTATGACGTGAATTATTACGCCGGGGATTGGATGATGGGACCGAATTTGTTTTGCTGGCAGGAAATCTGCTATCAGGGATACGCTGTTCACAACGGATTGGGCCTCCATCACAAACCTTACAACGCATCGGATGTGGAGCTGATTGAAACGAAACTGAAGACTCACAAAGCAGGCATTTTGCAATACATTGAAAATATGAAGATGGGAGTGCTGAAAGGAATGATTCGCAGTGTGGAGGAATGTGAAGCTGGAATTAACACAATCAAAAGGCAGTACTTGGATATTTCCTTGTACAACTCAACAGGTAAAAGGCACTGTTGCGTAATTGTTGTTTTTGCACTGTGAAAACAATCTGCATTAATGACCGCGGCGGTTGTCTGTCGCTGCCTCAAACAATGAAACATTTGATATTTTCGACTGGAAATGCAAGGTCGCGGCTGGGTGTCGGTTAAAAAAAATCATGTCGAGTCCTTTAGCACTGAATCAGACTAACTAAAACGTTTAGGGATTAGGACGTTTGATTTGTTTAATTTCCGCGGCGAGCTTCTGATTAGATCTGAATTGATTGACAAGTATTGACTGTTAGACAATAGATGACCATTGTTTCATATAATTTGGAGCTCGTCTTGCAAAACACGTGAACTGTTCTTAGCAAATCAGAAAAGCTGCCTGACAAATTCCCTAAACACGAATCGTACGTCCACTGATATGTTGTTGTCCCGTTCCCGTACAGTCCAGTCCTCACTATAGTCACGTGACGAAATGTCGGTCACGCAAAACGGAAATCACGAGAATTCAAGCAGCAAGAACCAGGGCTGTTTTTGTGCATGAAAGCCAGGTCTTCATGGCTACTTCTTGTCTGCAAAACTTTCTTCTTATCGGAGTTCGTTTTATTTTTGGTTGCGTGACAACATCTTTCTACGAGGTAAACCAGCGCAGGTGATCTAGAATCTAGCCCGGGAAGGTTATTTTTGGTTGCGTGACAACATCTTTCTACGAGGTAAACCAGCGTAGGTGATCTAGAATCTAGCGTGGGAAGGGAGGTATTAAGGGATCGAGAAAGATGCGGAGATGTTTTACACTTGCAAGAATTTGTAATTCGCAGTGTGCCGTTCTACCCTCTACCCATGTGTTAGTCTCTCATCCATTTTGTTTTATCTCTAATTTCGCCCTAGAACGTTGTTAAAACGACCTCTAAGAACACGCATTGTTTTCTTGATTGTCTGGCTATTTTCTGGGTTCAGTTACAATGATAAAATGACAAACACATCACCGTTTTTTCCAGTGTAATGTTGATCTGTGCAAATGCTGTTCTGTATTTCGTTTAATTACAAAGCTCGAAGCAATTGAATGCGTCTGCCGAATCAAATACTTTAGTATTTGGCGGTGGCTGAGTGTAAATATTTGAAGAGAAACCCTGACCCAGCATGCATTGGCCTCCCCCTCTTTCTATACAAGATTGGTTCTGTTATTGTAGGTGTCTTACAAAGCTGGTTTGTCAAACCCCTGCTGGACCCTGATTACTACAGTAACATCACAGAAGACACTGATAACGAATGGAAGAAGACGCACAGTGGAAAAAATGTCAGCGAAACCATCCAGGATTTTCTTGTGACTTACATAGGAGAAGCACTCAGCCAGCTGTTAAGGTACTGTTAATAGAAGTTAAACAGTAACCGTTCACTTATTCCGCTTCAAATTTAGAATTAACAAAGTTCTACCGCGTGTAGTAATGTGACATTCTGAGTATAACGACTGACAAGTCGAGAAAACAGTGCTGTTGAGCTGCACAATAAGCATTCATAGCATTGCTTTCATATATTAATCATTGAGCGATAATTCCCAGCAATAATTTTTTGTCAGTTTGGTATAGAAGTTTCTTTGAAGTTTCCAAGTAATCGGCCTAAAAAACATTATCCTCTGAAGTGAACTTAACTACTCTCCTTTTTCATTTTTCTATTATGGACGTTATTTACCGTACCATTTAGCATGCATGTTTAAATAAACTTTCACTCGAACAGGAATCAGCGATGTTTTCGCTACCCTTGTGGTATACCTGTGTTTAAACTGGATAATATCGTGTCGAGTGATTTGTTCACCGTTTAATCGATTATTATTTTTCAGTCGGCAAGATATTCTCCAAAGGGACGCCATTTGTCTTTCAACATTTTGAAAATCCTCACAGTTCCGATGTTTATTTTTAGTTATGTCGAATTTGAACACATCCGTCACTGCGTTCCCAGCAATGTGTCCAGCGGCTTGGGCAAACTTCCACTCAAGTATGTTTGGCTCGATGGTATAGAGAACATGTCCTGGCCAATAGACCCATATCTACCCACTGGTGAAGCGTTGAATGGATCGCAGGCCTACTTCCAAATCATGACGTATTTCACAACAAATGCCATGACCCCCGGGGAAGTTCATGAACTCGGCAAAAAGCAGCTCAGCATTCTCTATCCCATTGGTAAGTCTCATTACATATGAATTTTTAGATTGTTGTCGAATCTGTGTCTGCAGCATCTTGGAATTGTATCTGCGCCATCTTGAATCTGTATCTGCATCACCTTGAATCTGCATCTGTGCCATCTTGAATTTGTATCTGCTCCATCTTGAATCTCTTTCAGTAACTGCACAATACTGTACGTATATCTACACCATCGTGAATTTGTAACTGCATCATCTTTAATCTATATTAGGCAAAAACGAAACGATACGATATGTTACGACATGATTCAGACTTTGTTCAGAGAGGTAACACGTAATAATTGATTACACTAATGATCTTGTGCTACTCCTCACAGAAACACGATAAAAATTAAATATCAATTCTGCATTATATTACAAGAAAATTACACTAAAAATTATATTTTGAAATCTAAAATCATCCATGAGGTTAATGAAAAAGTATGCCCAACCGTTGAAAACTATTATTCTTACTTTGAAATTAAAAACAAAGTGTTTCTTACGCTTTTCGTAAAAGCACTAAGACAGGGGGAGCTCTCTAGAATAGCTAATTGCAGCCAGTTCAATAGCATGCAAGTAACAACCGAAAACGTTTTTTCTCCCTCTCTTTCCAGGGCATACCATTCTTCATAATCGCTATTTTTTATTGTTAGGTTGTGGAAGTCGATCGCAAGGCAAGTGACTGGAGAACCAGACAATCAAACCGCTGTCACGAAATTCAAAGCTAAGCTTAATACGTCTGAAAGTTACTTGAACGCGGAACCAATCCATAAAAACGAGTCCGAAAAAGAGACACTCAAAAAATGCAGTGATATTGAAGGAGCGAAGAAATATTGTCCAAAGCTCTGAGCTACCTTTGAGTTGAGGATGGCGGAATCAAGAAAGGCAAGTTTCGTCGTTTTGATAATCGCTCGCTCGTGTGAAGGCCATCAGTTTTATTATATCGACACGAAGGCTTTACGGGAAAATACACCACTCATGCGAAAATACACCAAATTCATGCGAAACTACATCCGGGACTCAAGTGGCGTCAATATCTTCACTGTTGAAGATATTGATGACTTCACTGATATCATGTTTGACCCTGGCCTTAAACAGTACTTAAATTTGTTGGTGTATGATCGAAACATCTTCGAATCTTTCTCGGACGTCTTCGGAACCATCGATAATCGTCGGAACTTTTCGGGAAATGTACGGAAATGTACGTGAGACCTTCGGGCAACTTTTGGAGAATTTTCCGAAATCTTCGCAAAATCGTCAAAAATGTCGTTACTTAATAGTATGTTATGTAATAAACAAAATAATACATGATATGAAATATAGATATGGAATTACTCCTGTCATATTCAACTTTATATCTCACTCATTCGTTGTGCTCACTTGAGAGATATCGAGTTGAACACTCGAAGAGAAATTCCATATCTACGCGTGCCCATGTATTATTCTCTACATCTGAACTGTCCCAAATGCCGTGGAAGTGGGCTGTTGTCTTTGGAAAGTTCACTATAAGCAGAACAGTTNTCCCAAATGCCTTGGAAGTGGGCTGTGTTGTCTTTGAAGAGCTCACTATAAGCAGAACAGTTGATTTTTTTTTGCTACTATTTCAGGTCATGAGTTTGCTTGCACCCAAGACTATTCCACTGTTCCACTTTACTGGAGATAAAGCTACCACACCCATCTGTCCAGTTGATATGCAGCCTAACCTGAACCCATCGAGTGGAGCTCAAAGTTACCAAAGTGCTGGCGCAGATTGCACACGAAGTGCAAAATACAACCTTCCATTTTTCCTGGAAAATCTGGGTCCCAGATTCTCTGAATGGAGCGTCAATGCTCATGAGGCGAGGCCTGGACACCATACGCAGGTTAGCGTGTTACTAGACTTAGTTTATTAAATAATTTTCTACTAACGCAATTAAGTATTACCCTTTATACCATGCCGTAGAAAATACAGCCAATCAGAATACAGGAACGCCGTTGTATATTCGACGGTATTACATCCAACCTTCCCATCGTACGCTGCGTTTTATGTCATATTGACAGTGTTGGCCACTGTATTTTCTATGGCATGGTATAAAATAGTTATGCAATGCTCTCCCGTGGTATACCATGGAATATCCCACGTGTCTCTTATATTTCCTTGGTATTCACAGTCGCCTAAAGACTCGTGTGTATATCGAGAAAATGTAATTGACTCGTGGGATATTCCATGGTATACCATTCAAATGTGTTGCATAACTAGTTATATCTTGCAGATTCACTGTGGGAAGCAGATTACATTTTATGTATCTGAAATTTCTTGCCACCTCAGTACATTTAAGAGGCACAAGAATTCAACGGCAGAGTTATCTACAACAACAACAACCACCACCTTTTTATTATAACATTATATGTAATATATCAAACACGAGAGATGGTGTTTCATCGGGATATCTAAACATCGAGAAAAGAGTTGAAAATACGACGCGCAGCGGAGTATTTTTGACGAAATTCGAGGTGTTTGGATAGCCGATGAAACACTATCTAGAGTGTTTGATATATCTTCTCAATGGAAACGAAAACTAAGGAGTAAACAGACGAGTAAAATCGTCAAAATCTATGCTAATTAAGACCGGGTATCCAAACCTCCCTCACGGTTTTTATTTTCTTTGTTTTAACTTGATGAATTATTAATGAGAAGTAACATTATAAGTTCCTATATTGAAAGGGTTATTTTACTATAAAAATTTAACGGCAATTACACAACGAGTCAACGAGTTGCGGTAGTGTAACTCACCGTTCACTCACCAAAAGAGGTTGAAAGCGGATTTAATTGTTCGCGGATGTGCAACTGTTCGCTAAATAATAATTAGATTTTTCGCTCTCGACATCTACGAGGTGATCGTTGATGAGGCCAAAAAGTTGCGAAGCTTATTGGTTCTCTTAGTGAGGTCAACTCGCTAATAAAACCCAATAACCCGCAGGTAAATGTTTCTCGTAACGAAAGGAAAACTATTCCAAACGTTTTGACTGAAAAATATATAGAGCGGTTTTCATTTGAGTATCGAAAGCCATTCGCATTTGGTTTGGTTTCGCATTACTGTGACGCTAAGCAATTGACTTTAAAAAACACGTGCCACTTTGTCTTCTAATCGTGACTCGCTTGCACACGTTTTCCCGCGCTTTATGTCGGGTACATGCATTGCTTTGAGTTCTGATTGATTCCCTGGATTTGTCTGTATAATTTTTAATTGGCCAGAATGATTACCTCAGTTTTGCTATGAAAACTGCTCTATAACATTGAACAACATATAGAAACACAAGTCGAAGTTTGGGAAAACACAAGAGGAAGTTTGGGAGAACGAGAAATGCTGTGGGAACACAAGCCCCTGTAACTCGATAGAACCTCGGCGAGCATGTTTTCTATTTCTTTTAGAAAACACCTCGACAAAAAAAATCGTACTATCATTACATTTTAAAACAGCTCGTGCTAGTTCTGTGTTCCTATCAAGTTAGCGTACTAAACCTGCCTGGATTTGGTGATCAACGAAACTGTGCCTCGTCGGTTCCATGCTCATAGAAAACTCGTTCTCAGAATTATTCCTAACGTTCCTCTTCTCCTGTAACAGGTTCAAGGTAACATAGAACATTTCCGTGACAGCTGCGGCGGAGTGATTAGTTGGCTTGACAGCGTCACCTATTACACGGCGTTTACAGAAGGCTGGGCTCTATACGCTGAGAATCCGCTCATAGCTGAAGATACAGACACTTACAAGTATGAGCCCATGCAGANAGACCAAACAGTTTCTACAAAACAACAATAAACAACTAGACATGAGTAAGGTTGATCGGCGGATTACTGAGAAGTTGAACAATAATACAGGTCCCAGTACTTCTCGACATAGCTGAGTATGTTGAATTATTCTAATCAGCTAGACGTTAAAATAGGTCAGAACGTATTGGCACAGCAGCGAACTTGATTAAGAATAAGTTCAAATCCCAGTGGACTCTAAATTAACCTACCAGGATGTGTGAAATCATTTCATTTCTCACTAAAATCCATCCATTCAGTTTATGTTGGTTTATATGTTGTCCTCTTCACATCTGTTGTTAATCAATTTTTGAACATATCCCAGCAATGTTCTTCTATAACCTCGTCAGGTGACTCGGTACCAGAGCGACCCCGGACAAGCGACCGCTTACATGATTGGTCAGTTGGAGATAAAGAAAGCCAGAAGTTATTCTAAGGGAGCCCTAGGCAATGATTTCAGTCTAAGAGACTTTCACTACCAGGTGCGTTTGCTTTTACTTGCACTCTCTTTTAGCGACTTTTCAAAGTAAGAGAGAGGGGTCAATAGATCAGAAAGCTTGTTTGTCAACTAAGTTCGTGTCATAGATGTGCAACACAGCTACGAACGGGGTCCAAGACGGGGAAAATAGGGAAAGAGTGGTGGGGTACGGAGATGGATCGCAGGGCGTAATTTCAATGTACTATGAAGATCTGTGGAGCTCATTTAAACAACGAAAACACCCACTGCAATCCTATGTATCAAGCCTTGTGAGGCAAACGAAATCCAAGGCCCGGTGTGTTTGCTTAGAAGGAAATCTTAGCAGAAGAGGCGGCAATGTTATCAGTTTTAATTTTCAAGCTAAATTCACTGTTCATGTTCTTTAGGTTCTTGCCCAGGGATCCTCGCCACTTGCTTACTTATCTGATCACGTGAAAAAGTACGTGGCTTGCGTCAAGGATAAGGCAAAAGAAGGTTGTGACGTCATCCTGAATCCATCAAAGAAAACCGAGGCAAAGAAAAGAACCAGTGAAGTCCGCTGGCAAAAACAACCAAAACCCATTGTACACTATATATGAAGCTTTGTTGATGAATACTGCTATCGCTAAGACAGTGCACTCTAGTTTGTTTAAATGTGATTTCAGCTGAGCTAAGGTTACATTCAGCAGAACGTAATGAACATTACTGATTGACTGATTGATTGATTGATTGATTAGTTGATTGATTGGTTGATTGTTTGATTGATTGGTTGGTTGGTTGGTTGATTGATTGATTGATTTGTTGATTGTTTGATTGATTGATAGAATGAGTAATGATTCAATGATTGATTGATACACTGATTAACTTAGTAGCTAGTTGATTGATTGATTGATTGATTGATTGACTGATAGAATTAATGAGCACAAAATTTAGTTTGTACAGTTGCGAGTTTTCGTTATAGCTCTGTAAACTAACGCACGATGGTGACCTCAACTAGGTATTAAACAGAAGATAAAAACGTTTTGTAGTCCACGATTTTTGACAACACAGTAGGGATAAATGAATTTAATTTGCCAACTCCGTCACCAATGTCTTTCTGCGCGTCCTTTTTAGTATGACCATCCACCATATATAAGATCAAAGGAATGGCACTCTCCTAGGACTGGATTGTGATAAGGTGTTGCGAACTAAATACAGTAAAGACACGAACCAATCAAATGATCTCTTTAAACCACACGCGCGTTGGGAAAAAAATTATACATTTACATTGTACATCACATTGCTGCTTCACGTTCGTTGTATACCATGCACGTTCAATGTTTCAAGTGGTATCAATTTTCCTTTTTCCTCGCCACTGCGTATGAAAAAGTTTCAGGCATTTAGTTTTTTTCTGCGCTTCTGTCTGGAGTTGTTATGGAACTGCAACGATGCAAAATTTGCATGCACAAAAATCAAGATGTATTCTCCGTCAAGATAGATTTTGAGTCTACTCGACAAGGTAATGTTAAGAACAAGTAATGTATACTGTTATTCGCATTGTAGAGGTGTTAGTTCACGCTTCATCATGCAAAGCGTTGAACAAAACACGTTAGCAATCTTTCAATGATGATCTCCAGCGCAGTGAAGGACATGACGAATTACTTCTCTTAAACTCTTGATCTTACGAAGTTGTGCAGAGCTATTGCACAGTGGACAATTTTAACAGCAACCTCTGGCTGTACACACATAACGGTAGAAAATACCCTGAATTTGCTTGACAGAATGCCAAAAACATTTTCACTGGTGCGTCGTGTTCTGGAAAACCTGCAGTTGAAGATCCTTTTTTCAACTGAGAGATTTCCTTTGTTATTTTTTAGTGGAAAAGCAGCTAGATAAAAAAAGGTACCGGCTTATTGGTGTAACTCCCATTGAAAAATTTGTCTGTTGACTCGGGAAGCAAGGTAATTGTATACGAACTAGTAATGTATACTGTTTTTTTGTTTTCTAAAGGTCTTAAGTAACTTTTTATCTCGAAAAGCGCTGAGAAAAATCCGTTCTAATAAGAACCTGTCAATGAGTATTCCCAGCAAACTGAAGGACAACACGAATTCATTTGGTTAAAGTTGTTTTTTTTTTTAATGGCAGAAAAATTCAAAGGAATGATGATTTCGACGGTCAAATGTTTTACCCAGTTAGTTATCGGCGAAACGGCTGTACACTTTCTCCACCGTTATCGATTTAATATTGATTACTGTAAAACATATTCAAGGTGGAAAAAGGTATTAACCTATAAATTTCACCTATAAATTTCACCTATAAATTCGGTTTAACAATAGTAACCCGCCGTCTTAGCAAACCTTTTATAGCTGCAAAAGCTCAGGCCAAAGTTTAGTCCTGTGCCATATTAAGTCCAATAAAAATCAAATAAAACCATCATAAAGAATTTTAAATAATTTATCATTTTAATAAAGCCTTTTTTCAAGTCACTTAGATAAATGCGCCACAGTTGGATACTTGCGGGACACTTAGAAAAGTGCGCCACACTTGGATAAATGCGCCTAACGTGGAAAAAAAGCAGCACAGGTGGATAAATGCACCGCACTTAAGAAAACGCGGCACACCTGGAAACATGCCGCACATCTGGATAAATGCGCCACACTTGGAAAAATGCGCCACACTTGGAAAAATGCGCCACACTTAAAAAAATGCGCCACACTTGGATAAATGCGGCACACTTGGAAAAATGCAGCACACTTAGAAAAATGCAGGACACTTGGAAAAATGCGGCACACATGGAAAAATGCGCCCCACTTGAAAAAAAAGCGGCACACTTGGAAAAATGCGCCAAACTTGGTTGATAGACTTGTTATAAATCACACGTTTAAAACGCTTGGTGTTCCATTGGCTCTGATGTCTTCATATTGGTTAGCAGGTAATTTTTAGGCCTTAAAAAGAATAAAGGCATGACTAGTAAGGCATTTTACGGAAGCTTACAGTGAATACCCTTTATTAAAAAGCATTTTCGCATCAAACTTGCTTCAAACGGACGAAAAGAGGATTGTACAAAAAAAAATCTTTTCGGCCTGAAAAAAGGAAAAAACGGGGTCCCCCGACTGGCGTCGAGAGTATATATGCCGATATATGCCGATATGCCGATATGCCGATATATGCCGAGCGTATATAGTCCGATAAAGTTCTAATAAAACCGTCATGAAAAATTTTAAATAATTTTTCATTTTAAGAAAGCGTTTTTCAAGTCGGTTGATAAACTTGTTATAAATCAAACTTTTAAAACGCTTGGTGTTCCATTCGCTCTGGTATCTTCATATTGGTTAGTAGGTAATATTAGGGTTTAAAAAGAATGAAGGCAAGACTAGTCAGGCATTTTACGGAAACTTACATTTAATACCCTTTACTAAATATCATTTTCACATCAAACTTACTTCAAACGGAAGAAGAGAGGACTGTACAAAAAAAATATCTATTGAGTTAAAAGGAAAAAGAAAAAAGGAAACAAGCGGAGTCCCACGACTGGCGTCGAACGTATATATGCCCCCTCCGACCGCACAGCAGGTCAGATGCGTAACCCATTGGGCTACCTGGGGACTCCTTGACAAGGTTAAAAAATTTACTAGTTCAATACGTCAAACAACACTATAGATGTTACTGGCAAAGTCATTTTGCTTTAACCAATATGGATTAAGAAATATTTTCAGACCTGAAACAGATTAGCGTCTTGATAACTTATTGCTACTCTAACGATTTCCGTTCTTTTAACAATAGTAACTCGCCGTCTTTGCAAACCTTTCATAACTGCCAAAGCTTCAGCCAAAGTTTAGTTCTGTGTCATATTAAGTCCAACAAAAATCAAATAAAAAAATCATAAAAAAATTTTAAATGATTTTTCATTTAATAAAGCCTTTTTTAGTCAGTTGGATAAAAGCGCCACAATTGGATACTTGCGTCAGAGTTGCAAAAGTGCGCCACGCTTGCATAAATGCGCCTCCCTTGGAAAAATAATGCACACTCGAAAAAATGCGCCACACTTAAGAAAATGCTGCACACTTAGAAAGATGCCCTACACTTAAGAAAATGCGGCACACTTGGAAAGATACGCCACACTTAAGAAAATGCGGCACACTTGGATAAATGCGCCACACTTAAGAAAATGCGGCACACTTGGAAAAATGCGCCACACTTAAAAAATGCGGAACACTTGGAAAAATGCGCCACACTTAGGAAAATTCGGCACACTTGGAAAAATGTGCCACAGTCAAGAAAATGCGGCACACTTGGAAAACTGCGCCACACTTAAGAAAATGCGCCTCACTTCAAAAAATGCGCCACACTTAACAAAATGCGGCACACTTGATAAAATGTGCCACAGTCAAGAAAATGCGGCATACTTGGAAAAATGGGCCAGACTTAACAATATGTTGCACACTTAGAAAAATGCGCCACACTTAGGAAAATGCAGCACACTTGGAAAAATGCGTCACACTTAAGAAAATACGCCTCACTTCAAAAAATGCGCCACACTTAAGAAAATGCGGCACACTTCGAAAACTGCGCCACAC